AATCATTATGGTCTTGCAATAAAAGGTCATGGTTGTTAATTCACAGATGTTGTCAATCAGAAATGACTAGGGAAAGGGGTGGAGAAGAAAATCATTTGGTCAGCATTTTAAGTCTTTTAAGTTGGTGTTTTTATCCCATTATGTATCTCTATTGCATTTGAAATCATTTTAAAATTTGAAATTCTTTTAATCATTTTTTTATATTTTAAATTGCTTTGTATATGTTTTTATTGTTAGAATAATAGAACTGTAGAACTGTAGAGGATTATCCCAAGGGTAATCTAGTTGCAACCTCTGTAGCACAGGAATCATACCTGAAGGATCCATGACACATGGCCATCCAACATCTACTTAAAAACATCCAATGTAAGAGAACCCACTAACTTCTGAGGTAGTTTGTTCTACTGTCAAACAGCTCTTACAGTCAGAAAGTTATTTCTAATGTTTAGTTGGAATTTTTATTTTGGGGTTTTTTTCCTTGGCAATTTGAATCCATCTGTTCATGTTCTCCCCTCCGGAGCAGCAGAAAACTAGCTTGCTCCATCTTCCAAGAGACAGCCCTTCGGATATTTGACGATGGCTATCATATTGTAAAGATGTGTACAGAAACTAGGAGAGGAGATATTAGTTAGATGTTATCCTTCCTTACTCAGGTTTCTGAGTTTAGCAGAGTACACCCCTTGCAGCAAAAATAAGGAAGCTGTTGATAAGCTAGTTTTAGCCCTTTGTTTAAGTAATCCAGGATGCTTTAACACAGACTGGATTTATTTCCCCCTTTCTCCCTTTTAAAACAATAAATCACACAAAACAGTCTTCTTATGAGTAAAGAAAAAATTACTCAGTTTCACAGTAGCTGTCTTGAGGCAGGCTTAAAATGTAGTTACAGACATATAGTTTAGATTAGAATTGGAGTCTGAGCTGTGACTCAGACTCAGTACGTGGGCCAACATCCCAAGCCACGGATGAGGCACTGAAGAGATGAGAGCATCAGGAATTTTATAAGAGTATCAGTATTTTATAAGGAATAGTTTATAAACAAAACTAAATACCTAATGAAATGTAGATTATTTTGAAGTGAACTAACTTAAATCCACTGTCACAGACTCACATGTGGACTGGAACACATACACATATCAATTGGATGATGCACATCCAAATTTTGTGATGCAATTTCAGTTCGGAAAAACATGCACAGAGAAATGTATTAATAAACTTACAAAAATGCATACTTTGGGGCAAGTGTTCACAGGATATAAAAATGTATTTGTATGATTTGTGTGTGGGGTGAGTGGGTGCATTTAAAAAAGGGACCAAATGGTTCTTCAACGGAGCACATTTGGAACTCATATGGAACAGAAATAAGCCGATCCAGCTAGGGATGTGGTTTCATGTTCCATTTTTGAATCTGTAAATTCGCTTTACCCTGTGTTGCACAGCTCACAAGTTACAGTTTAACTAGGAATTTTTCTAAGATTTGATTCCAGAATTGGAGAGCTGCCACCAGTCATTGTCAACAATGCTTAGCTAGATAGGCCAACAGTTTCAATTCTTATAAAGCAGCTTATTATGTTTTCCTGTTTGAAAGCGCTGGTTCTGGATGTAATAGAATACTTGGAAGTAAGAAATGAAAAACAGGCAGCATTGATGTTTATAGATGCTGAAAAAGCCTTTGATAATGCCTCTTGGGAATTTATGAAAAAAAGTGCTGGAAGAAATGGGCTTTGGAGAAAACTTTAGGAAAGGGATTCAAGCAATATATTCGGATCAAAAAGCAAAATTAATTCAAGACAGGGATGTCCTTTATCACCTTTATTATTCATTTTGGTTCTAGAAGTCCTGGCGAGAAATATTAGGGCAGATGAAAGTATCAGAGAAATTATGGTAGGGAAAAAGACATATAAATTAAAAGCATATGCTGATGACCTTGTAATTACAGTGGAAGATCCTAAGAATTCTTCCGAAAGTCTACAGGAATTTGGGCAAGTGGCAGGCTTCAAATTAAATAAAAAGAAGACAAAGATGTTAGTAAATTTTTTATCAGAAATGGATAAAAAAGAATTACATCAGAGTATACAAATAGAGATTCATAAAAAAGTTAAATACTTAGGAATCTGGCTTACAACCAAGAATATCAATATCTTTAAAGACAATTATGAAAAAAATTGGAATAAAAAAAAAGGAATTTAGAAATATGGGGAAGAATGAACCTATCATTATTAGGGAGAATTGCAGCAATTAAGATGAACACATTGCCAAAAATGTTATTTTTGTTTCAGTGAGTGCCAGTAATAAGTGACCTAGCATGTTTCAAAAAATGGCAAAAAGATATTTCAAAATTTATATGGAAAGGGAAGAAGCCAAGAATAAAATACAAATTACTTACAGATATCAGAGACAGAGGAGGCTTCGCCCTTCTGGATCTTAAACTATACTATGAAGCTGCATGTGTCACTTGGATCTGGGACTGAATCAAATTAGACAATATGGATATGTTAGATTTGAAGGACATTATAACAGATTTGGATGGCATGTGTATTTGTGGTATGATAAAGGAAAAGTACATAAAGGATTTTATAACCATATAATTAGGAGATCACTTTTAAAAGTTTGGGAAAGATATAAAGATTTATTGGAACAAAAAACTCCATGGTGGTTGTCACCACTGGAAGCAATATCAATAAAATCAATAAATAGGAAAGAAAAATGGTTTACATATAGAGACATTTTAATAGAAACAGAAGAAGGGAAATTAAAATTGAAAGCGCTCGAAGAGATTTGAGAACATGTAAATGAGTGGCTGCAGTATTATCAATTAAATGAGAGATTTAAAGAAGATAATAAGAAAGGATTCAGTTATACTTTATCCAGATTTCAAAGAGAAATTATAGATGATAACACTAAAACATTGAAGAAGATGTACAGTTTACTGTTAAGAGTGGGAAACCAAAGATGAAGAGGTTAAATGTGTAATGATTAAATGGGCACAAGATTTAGGACATAATATAAAAATGGAAGATTGGGGAAAATTATAGAATGGGAATTTAAAATTTACTGATTGTATACGGTAATTTTGAAAGAAAATTATATGAAAATGATATATCGAGGGTATATTACTTCAGTTAAATTGGCAAAAATGTATAGAAAAGTTCCAATAAGTGTTGGAAGTATAAAGAGAAAGAAGGCACATTTTATCACATGTGGTGGAACTGTAAAGTAACCAAAAGCTATTGGGAAATGATTTATAATGAAATGAAAAAAATGTTTAGGACAACCTTTGTTAAAAGACCAGAAGCCTTTTTGCTAGGTATTATAGGCCAAGACCTGCCAAAAGAGTGGAAGAAACTATGTACGCTACAACATCGACTCTATAAAGTCTATGATTGCAAATTATAGCTTGCCAGATCCAGACTAAGTTGCAAACTAGGTTTGATTTGGAGACACTTCTTATCCCATCCCTTTATACACAAAAGATTTATCCTCAAGCATAAATCATGTTTCAGAGCAGCCTTTGGGGAACTGCCCAAGCTCAGTGATAGAACATCTGCTTTGCATGCAGAAGACCTCTGGTTCAGACCTGCCATCTCTAGGTAGGCTTGAGAGAGACCCCCTACCTGAATGGAGAACCACTGCCAGTAAGTGCAGGTAATGCTGGTCTAGATGGACTGGCTCAAAATAAGGCAACTTCCTATACTCTTACCTGACTTGAGCTTTTACAGGAGTCCTCAATAATATTTCCAGAAGCAAATTTCTCCCGCTTTAATGGTCCTTGCTTTTGAAACATGCTGCATGCTGCTGCATGCAGAAGGTCAAGGTGTCAGAAGCTAAGACAGGTGGGGGGAGAGAAGAAATGTCAGGGCTGATTTTATTGTTTTTATGATGCTACTTAGACCCAATAAAAAAGTGTCATTTTTAGTTATAAACAATTGGACGGCTGTCCAGTAGATTGCAATGGCCTTACTGAAATGTGAAGCTCCCTGCCGGCTTACGTTCTAGCTGGTATTTTAACTTGCTGATGGGTCTAAAGACCTCCTTGGGAATCCTCTGGCAGAATTCTCAGGGAGCACCTTATGTGAGGAGGTAGCAAATACACTTCAAGAGGCTTGCAAGAAAAACTACATGAAAGGGAAATGGATAGGGATGGAGGAGGAAATAAGCGGACAGTTCTTAGAAACAAGTTTATTTAGTGAACTCATCCTATTCCCCTTTTCTGGCATGCAGCTCCTGTTCCCACTTCTAGTGTGCCTTCTCTGCCCAGTCAGGGAAAAAGAGTTCTCTGATAACACTCCTTGAAGTGCACAAAGACCTTCAGCTCCATTTAAGAGCCTGGGGTAGTGTCTCCATTCTACAAATTTATGGCAAGGCCGCCCTTGGAATATTGCACATAGTTCTGGTCACCTTATCTCAAAATGGATATTGTAAAGCTTCTCCGCTCACACTTTCCTGAATTTTCCAGTAAAATCATATGTACAAAAATGCATATAGTGGGTTAAAGTCTGCCTATAAATGTATATATTAGTGAAAATGACATAAAAATGCATTGTATTATGAATAATGCTTTGCAAAAATGTGATTTGCCTATCCATAGTAGTGCTGGCCACCAGCCTGGATGGCTTTAAAAGGGGGTTAGACAAATTAATAAAGCATAAAGCTATCAGTCACTGTAAGAGGCCTCTGAATATCATTTGCTAGGAATTATATGTGCAGAGAGGGCAGTTGCACTCATGCCCTGCTTCCAAGATTCCCATAGGGGCATCTGGTTGGCCATGGAGAGAACGGAATGTTGGACTAGATGTGCCTTTGGCCAGATCCAGCAACATACTCTGCTTTTGTTCCTCTCTTCTTACAAAGGAAGATTCTCTGTGTGGGGAGGCAGGTCCCCACCCCACCCCGTGATCCTTCTGTGTGTGGCTGCTGCAGCCAGAAGTAAGCTGAACTTAACCCAAACTTTTTTGTTTTGTTTTTCCCCCGTTAAAGCATTCTGGTCTCTTCTGTTTCTCCAGGGACTTTGGGGGCGGCGTGACGATATTCCTCCCCATTGAGGAAGATTGATTTCTTGTCACATAAGTTCAGCAGTTAAGAAAAAAGGTGCTTGTCCTGTTTCCCACACCTGTCACATTGACTTCTATAATGAACCCGTTACACAGACCTCGGAAACGGATGGAAACCTCTTCTGACAGCACTTGTCAAATGAATAGGCAGGAAGGTGAGGACAATGTATTCAATGCGGTGAACTTTCAGCGCTTTTGTGGACACTGACAGGGGACTCAGGCTCAGTCGTCAGATTGGGGCAATGGATTGGGGTGGCATGGGGTGGAGAGGAAGGAAGGGAGATGTGGAATATATTTGTTATTTATTTCTATCAGTCCCATTCAGAAATCCGTCTTCTCAACTTCTTAAAAGTTTCCTCGCTTCTATGAAAGAGGCCTTCCATTTTCCTGCATCAGACACAAGCAAGGTCTAGGATATGATTTGGGTGGTTGCCGGATGGCCAAGGTGGCAGAAAGTATGTGTGTGCTGTTCTAACTAAGCATTTATCCCACCCCCTATGTCCTTGACAGCTGCACCCACTTTCTGATCCAAAGAAGGACCGTGAGAAGAGTTACTTCATACATATATACACACACACACACACACACACACACACACACACACGTGTGTGTGTGTGTGTGTGTGTGTGTGTGTATATATATATATATATATTTGCTTTCGTAGATTTTCACGGGTACAGGAATGCAGGTTTTGGTGTCCTCGGGTGTCTTCCCGTGTAAAAGTTGGGGTGTCTAGGCGACGTTTCGACGAGGTCTCACTCGTCATCTTCAGGCTGGTGCTTTCGGCTTCTTGTTACTGGAACAGAGCAGGATCTCAGTGTTTGAGTTCCTATAAATACTGTTGAGGGGTGTGGTGTATAGCCTCCAATGTATATAGCATCTTCCTCTCCCCCTGCCCCCTGCTGCTGTTGCTGGGGTGCCACTTCCACTCTAGACTGGAGGTGAATTGCCATGCACAAACTGTTTTGGAACAAGAAGCCTCATTTGGTTTATCCCTGCAAAGGACGTACCAGACTCACACGTACAATAGGGGTTGGCAGGTCGCCAGGCTTTTTAACCTAGTTTCACCTCAACTTCTTCCTCTTTCTTCTGCCTTAGGTGTGGCACGTACACCTTCACAAATGCTGTACAGCAGGGCCAGGGTGCACCGTTCAGGTTCACATACCCAAAGTTATGTGGATTCACATACCCAAAGTTAGCACGGAGGGAGAATCTACTTCTAATTATTTGCTGCATGGCCACAGACCGCAGCTGTACCTAGGAGAGAAGAGGGAAAGGATTTAAGCTTTCCTCATCACTTAACCTCACCTGACCAGAATCCTGCAATTTGGTTAATTTTTTTAATAGGTTGCAGATCTTCTAAATGGTTATATTTACTAAATACAGTGGTACCACTGTATAAGCATTTATGATGCATAAGTTGGTGCACGTGCGTCGGCAATGCTGGTTTTACCTGTGCTTGTTTTATTGGTGGGCTTGCTTTGAACGTTGTTCTTGGTTTTATTTCTATACCGCTTTATATTCAAGGGGGGGGGGGCGCTGGAATCTTGAAGCAGTTTACAACTTACATTAAAACATCAAGTGAAGCAATCTGTAATAAAACATTACTAAAGTACACATTCAAAGCAAAGTAATTAACAGGGAACTGTATTATTATTTTAAAGAATTTGAAACGAAACATTACAAAGAAGGTCAGCTACAGAATGCACATTTAATGCAGCAAGGTTAACAAAAATTATCTCAAACTTTTCAAAAGAAATAATTACTACGGGAAGTCAAATAAAAAATGCACATTTGAAACAAGATAATTAGCAAGAGAATAAAATAGTATCATATGCATATATTAACTTTGTTATGATATCTATCTGTAGCTATATCTATATATTTTAAAGTTATTCTCATTGAAAGACGGGATATAAATGTGCAAGTAAACAAAAGTAAAGCATATAAAGTTCCATTTAGTTGCCATGGTGCTGTGTCACACAGGTTACATGCACCATAAACTCATGATTTGTACAGGAACATAAAAAGAAGCCTGCTGAATCAGGCAACAGGCCCATCTAGTCTAGTATCCCAATGGCCAATCGGATGCCTCTGGGAAGCTCACAAGCACAGCATGAGCTCAATGGCCCTTCCACAACTCTATGTCTTCCCTACAGCTGGTAAGACAAAGATGGGCTGCCTCTTAACATGGCAGTCCCACCTAGCAATCGTTCCTACCTTTTCTGATGTTGGGGCTCTGAGTGTCATTTTCTCTTTCCCCGGCCAGGAGGTGGAAGGAGAAATGAATGAAAAGGTGCAGAAAGATTTGAGTTTTGTTGAGGTTGCCGTTGGGAATTCGGGACTCTTCATGACAAAGTGAGAAGCTGTGATGGCTTAAGTGTTTTGGTGAAGGTCCTGGCAGTTTCGTGGCAATTGGAGAATATGTGAGTGACTTTAACAATTCCGGTTTCTCTCAGTTTCTCATTTTTCCAGTCTTAAGTTCAGATCTCCATATTTCTGCATCAGTTTGTGAAAATTTATATATAAAAATGTATCAGCATTTCAGCGCAATTTCCCCCGCTCTGCACATTTGTATGTGTTCAATCTTTGTCTAGCTCAGGGGTCTGCAACCCGCAGCTCCAGAGCCGCATGTGGCTCTTTTACACCTTTGCCGTGGCTCCGGGGCGGATACTAGCGAGGGGAGGAGGCGCATTGTGTGCCCCGACATTCCCCACTGTTTTAAATGTCGCAATGGTTTTGCGGCTCCCAGTTTTTTTTTCTTCGGTCCAAGTGGCTCTTTTTGTCTTAAAGGTTGCAGACCCCTGGTCTAGCTCCTCCCCTTTGACCTTACAGCCTTGGGTGTCCTTGCTGGGAGTGCGAGACTCCCGGCGGCTTCACTCACAAGGGTCATAGGAATGTGCAAGCCCACTCACTGCGACAAGGTGAGTGAGAAACCAGCGAGTGAGAAACCACAAGTAGCTGAGTGTCATATGTAGTTTGTCCCTGAAAGCAAACCATAACTTTGGTATAGAGCTAACACATAAAGGCCAAAGTGGATTTTGGTTCTATTTTAAAGAGCCTTGAATATTATTATTTTTTCTTTCCCTCCGTAGAAAACCTCCAAAAGTTCTTAAGAGTGAGGGCTTGGTTGGGTAAATTATGAATATCTTTCCGCAGAACATTTGGGAGCATAATTATTATTATTAAAAAAACCCCAGCTACTTTGAATTGTTTTCCTTTTGCTTTTTTGGTTAGCTCTGCCAAGATTTACATTGTACAATTTAAAGAGCTCTGGAACAGCAGTAAAGAGGTGTTACCCTCCCCAACCCCAGTGTGCTGCTGTTTTTAAATTAAGGGCAGTGAAGAGGGGATTCTGAAAGGGCTGACCTTGAAAGTGATGTTAAGAAGGCAAGGAAAAGGACAGGTGATTGGTAAATTTGGTTGGACTTGCTGTGTGGCAATTTAAAGAGACCTAGTCCCGTTCAAAATAACAAAATCTATATAGAGTCTGGTCAGAGCTTTCAACTGTGCAAGGTGGAAATCATGCAAGTTAATTGCGTGTAATATGTGATTGTACTGTACAGTGGAAAATTTGAGGGCCAGCCAACGAAGCTGAATCCTGATAAGACAGAGGTGTTGTGTCCAAGAGGTGGAGAAATAGCCTGTTCTGGATGCACTCCGCTGGAAGAAGCAGGTTTGTAGCTTGAGATCCTACATTGTCACTGGAGGCTCAGGTGACCTCAGCGGTTAGGAGTGTCCATTTCCATATTTGGCTGGTTCACCAGCTATGACCTGCTTTGAACAGTGATAACTAGGTGATGGTGCTCCATGCTCTGCTAACTGGATTACCGCGATACAACTCTACATGGGGATGCCTTTGAATAAGACGCAGAATTTTCAGCTGGTCCAAAATGCAGCAGCCAGATTACTTGCTGGGGTTCCCTTTAGAATCCATTTTGAAACAGCTGTACTGATCACCAGCTCATTTCCACACCCAATTCAAAGCGCTCTCAAGACAGCTTAGGGACCAGGGATGCTTCCTTCCATACAGACCCTCTCAAGTTAAGATCAGTAGAGGGAACCCTCTTGTGAGTTCCACCACTCACAGAATTTGGGAGGGTGGTGGTCCAGGAAAGGGTAATCTGGAAACTGTAGGTGTGAACTGTAGCTCTGAAAGGTCAGCGCCTTTAACAAACTACAGTTCCTGGGTTTCTCCATGACTGCTAAAGTGGTATAATAGTGGTTCAAATGTATGGTGTGGATTGGACATATGTCTCAAAATTTGGAGAGAGATCTGAAGGTTGATTACCATCTGATTTGCACATTAATCTAATTAATCATAGTGGGATGCTTTTCCAGAGGAGAGAGCCAACTGTGATTCTACTTTATGATGAATACTTTTAAAAATTTATTTGCTTGGCCCTTGTACCTGCAAACTGGCTATAGGTTTTATCTGTTCCTCTGAATTTTATGGTTTGTTTTCCAACAGCTGATGTCAGAGCTGGCTCCAGGTCCCAGCTCACAGAGGACCAACGCTAGCCGGTAGTAATGTACAAAAGTCTTTATTGAAGTACAGTTTCCATTTTCAAGCCGCAGCGCGCAGCTCTACGTCTTAGAAGCTAGACCGGCGAAGCTCCGTCTGAGTCTCCACCCCCTGTACACCAGTTTAAGACTCTAACCTTACTCCACCTCTTCCGTCTCTCCTTTCTCCTCTGGGTCCTTCTGCCCCCCGGGGTCTCCTCCTTTCTGGACTCTTCTGACGCTGACGCTGACCCCCCTGACTCCTGTCCCTCCTTTCGGCAGGCTTTAGGACCTGGCTCCCTATCCGGGCTACCAACTGCGCCGCCCTCCTGTACATTTGAACTTGGCGCGCGCGCCCAGCCTCCAACCTTCCTCTTGACCGTTTCCTCGCTCTCCGATGGAGGCGTGGCCAATCCTGACTCATCTCCTCCCGCTGGCGGTGAGCCGCCTGATCCCGATACCTGGGACTCCTCCCCCCTACTGCGCTCTGGTGGGGAAGCTGGTCCTGATTTCCAACTGCTGCTCTCTGAGTCCCCTCTGGCCCCTTCTTCCTGGGGTGTCCCCCTAGGCACCCCCCTTGCTCTGACCATGGGAGCCCCTTTCTGTGAATCTTCCGATTCACTGGAAAGACTCCGAGACC